TCTCGAATACTGATAACTTGAGAATTTGGAAGCATGGAAAATCATGTTTTTTCACTTGAAAATCCCCCCTCCTTGAGCCTACACCCTCCTTGAAGCTTTAGCTTACAGAGAGTGTATAAAAACTGCACCATATGTTTGCATGGCAATTTGGAAGGGCAAATACTGGGAAAATGTCAAGTTTTCCTACTGACATTCCTGATAAGATCCAAAAGGATATCCCACTTCAGCCCTTTCCCTCAACCAGTGCAAATGGAGTAAGAGAAGAGGAAATGGTGGAACACATGTTTGTATGGTGTCCATATATTATAACTCTCGTGCACAGGCTCTTTACCATTTTGGCAAAGACTTCGTTGCCCAGGGAAGTGTAGAAGAACTTTATTCAGCTTATATTAACATCCTTTCAAGAACAAGCCAAAGATATTTTGGTTGAATGCCATTAGATATATTCTTTCGATGGATGCTATTTGGCTCTTTACTATTTTGGTATAGACTTTGTTGCTCTAAGAACTTTGAAAGAACTATTTATTTAACTTATATTAACATCCTCTCAAGAACAAGCCGAAGGTTAGAATCTCTAAGGAGAGAGGGAGAGGGCTAGAGGTTTCTAGTGTAACTTTAATTCATTCCTATATTTTATTTTCAGATTTATTTTACTTTTTGGCTTTTGTGAAAGATAATTTAATGTCCTTTTCCTTGTTTACATTCTAGATAATGAAGAAGTCCGTTAAGTTGCAAAGGATGGCATTTTATTTAGTGGAACATGGTCTATTGTCATGGTTATGCTCTATCATTTCGACCCCGGGCAGGAGACAAACTAAAGATCAGAAGTCCTTTTTCTCAAAGCAGCTGATCTTGGTATTAGAGGTAGCAATTATTTTTCATTGAGGGTCTAAAAGCTTCACTACACTCATGCACTTTATTTTGTTGTTACTTCTTCAATTGTGTGGAGTGTGCACTTTTCTGTTATTTATGCATTTTTATTACTCAAACTGAATTCCGATTCCAACAGAGCTAGAGGTTTTTGATTTGTTTCAATTGGGAGGCTTTTATAACTCCCCCTTAAGTTTGT